ATTATTTGAATTATTCTCAATTTCAATTGATTCTCTAACTAATCTTGGCCAGTAATAATTAGTTCTGCATAACACTTCAACGGTATCAAAATCAATTGAATGTCCTTGTTGGCAAGCATTCTCTGCCACTGCTGACAGCTGTGTTTGGGAAAATGTAATGTTCCTTTGGTGTTCTTTTATTCTTACGCTAATGTTACGTCCCGTCTGTCCAAGATAACACCGCATAAGCAATTGATCCGATATACATCTTCTGTTGACAACTTCGGTAATTCATCTTTAGTACAAGACACTAGTTTTTGAATTTTGTGTACCGTACCAAATCGCACTTTAATGTTTTGCTTTTGCAAAACACGGGCTAATTTGTCAGTAACTCCCGCGATATATGGTATTTTAATTATTTCGGTAAAGTCACGTAGGTAAAAAATAGAAATTATTTATTCGGTAAAAAAAATTACCTAATAAATAAATAACGTGACTTTACCGAAAGAACCAAAGAGATCATTGCAGTCACGAAAACTTCAAATCTAGAATTAGGCATTTTAATAGTTTTGATAATCTGATCACTTTCAGCAGTATTGTAGTTCGATCTTGATTTGGCATTCGATGCTCTGTTAATTTGAGCATTATTGTTGCCATTTATTCTTCATGCTTCTTTAACATGTTTAATCTCTTTCCTTAAACTTTCACCATCTGACACTGTCTTTGCCCGATGTATGAGCGTCTTGATGAGAGAGGATTTCTGTGCTGGGTGATGATGCGAATCAACATTCAGGTGCAGGCATCCGTGTGCGCTCCCTTGCGCTATAGACGCTGTGTGGTGTTCTTTTGCCATTTTGACCGCGTCCAAGCAAAATATCCAGGAACGTCGTACTCAAATTGTAAATGTTGTGGTCTAAAGTAGTGAACTATTTGCCTTTTGTCAACGTGACACATTTTTTACTGATTGGCCGTGTCGGGTGGTGGAGGGTTGCGACACATTTACAAATAACGCGATCTAACCCAAAAACCTTTATTATGAGTACAGGCGTTGTTCTAGCACGGTTGGCTAGGTTGGCTCTGTACGGTGAGAAAGAAGTCCGACATACATAGGCATCGTGTGTAGTTGATGGTAGTGCTGCTTTCTGTCAACCAACCCGCACTGACCGGCGTGGTGAAGTATGGTCAATCTCCCACGACCCGCAACGTCGTGGGGAGACCTTCATTCAGCAGTGGATTAACACGACAGCTGCACGTGTACACCGTATAACACACGCGTCATTCCATGCGTTACACTGCGCCACGCAATCCTGTACCCAGCACACATTACACAGCACGGCACGACTGTAAAATGTACACAGTCATGAGTGGTACTCACCAGACACACACGCACACTATACCGCCCTGAAGGGCTAGCAAGATACATTGTGTACATGTAGACCCCATTCTCAATCCACTGCTGGACAAAGGCCTCCCCACGCCCTATAATGCAAGACAGAGTGCGATATCATACTACACACAGTATGTACGACGTACATCAGAATCATCAGAATTTTGTTCAGACTGGAGGAATCCTATTAGCTATGAAGGTATATTTTTTAGTTGGCCAGGACGTGAATGTATATACACAATCGGGACATGAATGTGTAAGCTACATACACACGACAACATTAAGCAAGAGTGCACATACAGTATGTGTGTACTGTGTACAATACACATGCCAGTATACACTCAACTTTACACTATATCACAAGCAGTGTGTATGAATACTGTACGTATATTTCCTTGCATTGGACACAACAATACACAGTACACTGTGTACTTGTAGTGACAGCACACCGTGCATCAGCCACTAGAGGCAGCCACATTCATCACAACTACCTCTTCCGCCGTAGCAATTTACTTAAATGACATGACATTGCCATGTGCATCAGTGCATTAGAATGTCTTGCAAATACTTTACAAACCAATGTGTTACATTACACAGTGCTGCATATTGTTCTGAATTTGCACATGCAGTCCATGACACGTTGATCACCACGCATGCACGTGCAGCATTAGCAACCTTATATTCGGTACACAGTGCAATGTTTACACGCACGAGTTCCATATGCTACAGGTTAGACTGAGTCTCGTGTGTATGATCATCTATCTACATTACAATGTCAAACCAATGTCAAACGTCCAAGCAACTGTTTTTCTTCGGTACTTTCAGTGCAGTGTGAGAGTTCGTCCCACATCGCATACCAAATCATCATCATCACTGTCTACATGACATGCATTACTTCACACCACTTTGTATATTTAAAAACAAACGGCATGCGTCGTGCTGTTTCATACTCTCAACTATATTATTATTTCGCTCGTTTAGCCGTGATAGCTTCACTGAGTCTCAAGACTCGTTTCGAAGAGTGCCAGGACTCATGCACTTTGCAGGTACGGTATCATTTAATCATTGCGATGTTTTGCCAATAAAGGTGGCATTGCGATGGTTTAAGCTGTGATATATTGTTCAATAGTATGATGTAAAGACGGTCATGTAGGTACTAGGCTCAATAGATATTCTTAGCAGTATAAGTTACGCCGAGAAACGTGGCGTGGTGTGACGCTCCTGTTACCACAACAGTACACAGGGGTCACTTAACACGGGTGCACAATACACTGCACTTTAAAACAATTACACACCGTCATGGCATGACGTTACCTTTAGACTAAAATATGCACACTCTGCTCTATAAAGACGTCCACTCAGGCATATTAATTAAAGTGTATAACGATGTTAACTACCTCGCCTGGTATGCAGGGAATCGTTGGTTCAGGCGGTGTATACTGTGTACAGTATTGGAGTTTGCGTGTCTCTCTCCCCGTGATCCACGTTTAGAATCAACATCGCGTGTTTAGAGTATATACATCTCCACTTGATGAAGATATCAATTGTGGTCGGGTCGCTTCTGAATAAGAGCTGCGTTGCACAGGGGGTCTTTACCTGGTCAAATAAACCATTTATAGTTTTACATAACTCAGTGGGGCTTACCTGGTAAAGTAAAAATGCAGTAGTTTCTCAGTTTTATAAATATATTTCTACAAACTCATCGATTACTAGAATAGTCGAGGTTACTGCACACGCATTGACTCACACGTGGTGTATCGTAATCGATGTATTTCGAGTCGGTTGTCGCAGGTTTAATGGGTTCTGCGTGACACTTCGACAGCTCATCGTATTATTTTATTGTTTCCCTTCAACGTGACTTTACCGAAAGAGTTAAGAATATTCACCACACTGTCAATGATCGAGATTTGAATCGAATCGTTCGATCGCAAATCGACACGACACCGGATCGGAGTCGTCACACCCCCAGCACGTGTCGGGCAGCAGCAGCAATGGCATCAACACGCTCTGTGATGTCCATGCGTTGCAGATGAAACAAGATTCGCTAATGTTCCTGTATATAAATACTCTGCAACACACTTGTTTATACACGCACTGCGTTACATACCGACTCGTATTGTAGCTGTGTGCGGCGCTGTCGTGGTGTGATTATCCTCGACATTTAAGCGAGATAGGTGCACAGTTGCGAATTACAGAGAACTTGTGCTATATACTGTAACTGCATGGCCGAATTACTCCGTTTTTTTAATCTGTAAACTTAACAAAAAAACCCCATCAACAAAAATAATATCGGAAAGACGGTTTATTAAGATAACTGAATGCACAATTTGATATAGCATAGACTTGTTTCAAACAGTATACACAGCATGTGCAATGTGATCTACAGTATAGGCTGCATAGACTGTTGTTGGGCAGGTTCTGTCAGCGAGCACCTTCAAAGGCCGCCGGCACACGGACAAATATAGAGAGCCAGAGTCCGCAGCAGACCGAGTGATTTAACCCGAGTTAGATCCCAGTATTAACGTTTAACACTTGTACTTTTAGACCGAAAGTGTGCTGTCAGTGAGCACCTATTAAGGCAGGCGCGACAAACCATAATATGGTGGGATGGAGTTACATGATCTGACGTTGCATTGCATGTGGTTGTGATGGGGCATGGTGTGACGAGGGGTACATAGGCTGTGATTTGATGCGGCTCCAAGTGGGTTGTGGTGGAAAGTAGACGGAACGGCGTTGTGTGATGTGAATGAATGGGAGTGTCCCATGTGACTTCAACCACTTGCCGATGTTGCGTCAACGTCGGCATGTGGTTGGAACTGTTGGACACCAACGTTCCATGTTTACTGGGGTGGTGTTACAGAACGTGCAAGTGTGTGATGCGATCCCCTGTGAATGGGCGTGGCGTTGTGATGATGTGCAGTGTGGTGTGATGATGTGCAGTGTGGTGTGATGATGTGCCGTGTGATGTGCCCTGTGGTGTTATGTGCGGTGTGATGTGCCGTGTGATGTGGTGTGATGTGCCGTGTGATGTGGTGTGATGTGCAGTGTGATGTGCCGTGTGATATGATGTGCCTTGTGATGTGCGGTGTGATGTGCCGTGTGGTGTGATGTGCGGTGTGATATGCAGTGTGGTGTGATGATGTGCCGTGTGATGTGATGTGCCGTGTGGTGTGATGTGCGGTGTGATGTGCAGTGTGGTGTGATGTGCGGTGTGATGTGCAGTGTGGTGTGATGCTGTGTGGTGTGATGTGATGTGTGGTGTGATGTGCTGTGTGGTGTGCAGTGTGGTGTGATGATGTGTGGTGTGATGATGTGCGGTGTGATGTGCGGTGTGATGTGCTGTGTGGTGTGCAGTGTGGTGTGATGATGTGTGGTGTGATGATGTGTGATGTGCTGTGCGGTGTGATGTGCAGTGTGGTGTGATGTGTGGTGTGATGATGTGTGATGTGCAGTGTGGTGTGATGACGTGTGGTGTGATGTGTCATTGCGGTGCTGCGATGTGACGTAACATGATGTGCCGTGGGGCAGTTGTGGTGTGATGTGGCTTCACATGGAGCAGCAGTAATGTGATGTGGCAGCCCTACTCCCCCGCAGCCACGGTTTGTGTCGCTGTGCAGGTGCTGAGGGTCTTTACCTCCAGGGTCTCGATCTCGTGGCGTGCCAGGTCGCTGGAGGAGGCGCACTTGGTCCTGAGTCCCTCCAGGCTGGCGAGGCTGATGTCGATCATGCATTGCAGCTGCTCGCACTTGTCTGCCGCCTGCTTCGCGCTGCCCACCTGAGCCATTGTCACCAACACCACCCACTAACTCACCCACTAACTCACCCTACTCACCCACTAACTCACCCTACTCACCCACTAACTCACCCACTAACTCACCCTACTCACCCACTAACTCACCCACTAACTCACCCACTAACTCACCCTACTCACCCACTAACCCACCCTACTCACCCACTAACTCACCCACTAACCCACCCACTAACTCACCCTACTCACCCACTAACTCACCCTACTCACCCACTAACTAACCCTACTCACCCACTAACTCACCCTACTCACCCACTAACTCACCCACTAACTCACCCACTAACTCACCCTACTCACCCACTAACTCACCCTACTCACCCACTAACTCACCCACTAACCCACCCACTAACTCACCCACTAACTCACCCTACTCACCCACTAACCCACCCTACTCACCCACTAACTCACCCACTAACCCACCCACTAACTCACCCTACTCACCCACTAACTCACCCTACTCACCCACTAACTCACCCTACTCACCCACTAACCCACCCACTAACTCACCCACTAACTCACCCTACTCACCTACTAACCCACCCACTTACCCTACTCACCCACTAACTCACCCTACTCACCCACTAACTCACCTACTAACTCACCTACTAACTCACCCTACTCACCCACTAACTCACCCACTAACTCACCCAACTCACCCACTTACACACCCACTTACTCACCCTACTCACCCACTAATTCACCCTACTCACCCACTAACTCACCCACTAACTCACCCACTAACTCACCCTACTCACCCACTAACTCACCCTACTCACCCACTAACTCACCCGCTAACTCACTAACTCACCCACTAACTCACCCTACTCACCCACTAACTCACCCTACTCACCCACTAACTCACCCACTAACTCACCCTACTCACCCACTAACTCACCCACTAACTCACCCACTAACTCACCCTACTCACCCACTAACTCACCCTACTCACCCACTAACTCACCCACTAACTCACCCTACTGACCCACTAACTCACCCACTAACTCACCAACTCACCCACTAACTCACCCACTAACTCACCCTACTCACCCACTAACTCACCCACTAACTCACCCTACTCACCCACTAACTCACCCACTAACTCACCCTACTCACCCACTAACTCACCCTACTCACCCACTAACTCACCAACTCACCCACTAACTCGCCCTACTCACCCACTAACTCACCTTACTCACCCACTAACTCACCCACTAACTCACCCTACTCACCCACTAACTCACCCACTAACTCACCCTACTCACCCACTAACTCACCCGCTCGCCCGGGCCACTCGGCCCTTAAGGGCCCCCGCCCCCGGCGAGTTTTCGCCCCAAATCGTTCACACTCGCATGCGACGTCTTAGTCAACTGGGTTAAATCCCCGGTGCTGACTTTTCCCTGCCCCTATCCCTCCCTCTCCTCCTCCTCCCCCTGTCCCCCGTGCTCCCGGGAGACAGCTGGAGAGTGGTGACAGCAGTCGGCCAACAGTCGGGTCACCCTCCCCGTCTCTCTGCTCCTCGTTCCGTCGCTTTTTCTCTCCACGTCTCTCGCCGCGTCTTCCCCTCGTCTCCTTCCCCTGTTTTTCTCTCTCCGCTCCGCGTGTCTCTTGCTTTCCCTCGCCTCGTATCGCCGCCGATGTCTCTCCCCTTTCTCTTCCTCACTGCATCTCTCCCCTCTCTCACTTCCTGTCTGCGTGAAACTTCCTCTGTGTGTGTGCGCGCGAGTTGCAGGTCGCGGTAACTTGATAAACACTGCGGCTCTTATTGGCCGCTCGCACTTAGCACACAACAGGCGTGACAAATATATAATTAACTGTGTAAATACATTATTAAACGCACAAAGGCAAAGGTCCCCCGCGTAGCCTTTAGCAGGCTGTAGGGGCAAGTGCTGTTGGCGAGGAGCTCCTATGAAGGCCGACACGGCATATTGAAGGGGGTGGTCGGTGGCCAACACCACGCCCGGCCGCCTTTGTCTCCCCAGTGCTGATGTATACACACCGCACCAGGTACTCATTTTAGGTTATGGGAGGCCCAGGACCGGTTCAGATAATCGTCACTTGTTGGTGGCCGTGAGCGGGAGTCGAACTAGAGTTTATGCCGGGTTCGTAGCTCAGTGCGTTAACCGTTGCGCCACCGCTCCCCACGATTAAACACTCTCTGAGACCCACACACACTCTCTGGGCCTCACACACACTCTGGGTCCCACACACACTCTCTGGGTCCCACACACACTCTCTGGGTCCCACACACACTGCACAATACAAACCACACGTGCAACACGAAACGTAAACACGGCAACGAGTGGCGGCGCGGACCCTGAGTGGCCGCTAGGGACAGACGCAATCAGATTTTGGCTTCCGATAAAACTTCAAGAGTTTACTTCACAAACCCAATGCCAGCACGTGTTTGTGTACATTTGTATTGTCTGTGGTAGGTCGACTCAGCCTTAAATGAGTATCTGGTGCAGTGTGTGTAAACATCAGCACTGGGGAGACAAAGGCGGCCGGGCGTTGTGTTGGCCACCTCCTGCGCCGTGCCCGACATCATAGGTGCTCGCTAACAGGACTCAACCAACATAATCAGAATCTTTATTTAGACTGCAGGAATCCGATGAGATATGAAGCTTTTTTCTACAGATAATCCAGTACGGGTGGGTCCCAAAGTTACAAGGCCAATACAACATATCGATAGGAGTACAACATAGAGAAAAGGTCAGCTCGGGCAAGACATCAAAACAACTGCAGTCCCGGACCACACCAAGAAAACACGATCCCTCAATACAAATGCACATGAAAATTTAACTTTAGATACACATGGCGTGGGGAGGCCTTCATTAAGCAGTGAATTTTATTATTGTTAACTATACCTGCAAATTGTTTCATGAAATGAGGATCCAATCTGAGCCATGACATTTCTCCAGGAACTAAATATGCAAAACAGACACAAAGGAACCGGCCAAACATTGCATACAGGACCTTCCTGAAAACGCGTCTTAAGAATCAGTGACATAGTGGGAATGCAAGGATAATAAAGGCATAGGTAGTGTATATATATTCTTGGTTCTTTCGGTAAAGTCACGTAGAAGGGAAACAATAAAATAATAAAAATATATTGTTTTATATGACCTGATCCCATCCGTGAAGGATGTCATCCCTGACTTACAGTACCCCGGAGTTTACAAATTGAGTTGTACCTGCGGTGATTGCTATATCGGGGAGACGAAACGACATATCTCTGACCGAATTCGCGAGCACAAATCAGATCTGAAACACGGCAGAACGAATTCATCTGCTGTGGCTGATCATTGTTACAACGCTATGGGGGATCATGAGATTGTCTTCTCCGATACCAAGGTTCTCTGTAAACCTACAGGTTATTACCAGAGATTTGTCCACGAAGCCATTCAGATATACAAATACAGACATAACTTCAACTGAGAGGATGGTTTCAAATTAAGCAACCATTGGAAAGACGTTTTAAATCATACCAAACGTCAACTAATTTCTTACAGCAAGTTCAAGTAATGGTATACCAAGCATATTCCTTCCGAACTTTCTATTAAACCATTTTTTCTACTCTCCCCTGACAGCACATTCTTGCCGATCTTTAATTTTTTTCCGTTTCTATTGCACACACACAGTGACCCATCCTCTGCACCCTCTACACAAAAACATGCTAATCCCCCAGCTAATTTTCTGACTTTAACACCCTGCTGCTTCAACACTTTAACACAGCTATTTTTGATACGTAAACTCCTTTGTCAAGGCGCCCTACTCGTCCCACCGAGCTTAAAAGACGCTGCGAATCTTAGCAGCGGTCGTTGAAGTGCTGTCGTCCCGACAGTTCTGTTCCTTCACCTGAAGGACCACTTGTGTTGTGGCCGAAACGTCGTGATTTTTGTTGTTTTATTTTTTACCTACGTGACTTTACCGAATAGAACCAAAGAGTATAAACGCATGTTTCTCAATGTGGAGGGAAAAACCGGAGGACCTGGAGAAAAATCCACCCAGCCATGGGGGAGAGAGACACGCAAACTCCAAACAGCAGGCGCCAGGGTCGGGATGGAACCCACGGATCCTGTATACCAGGCGAGCTAACAACTCACATCGAGGGGGTATGCATATTGAATTTCTTTCGCACCGTTCGTAGCCAACCGTGCTCTTCGGAGGTGCGGGGAAGGACAACACACTAAACACAAATAGCAGTTCTACAGAAAGAGTTTTCAATATAGATTTAAAAGTGCATAGATCCAGTGGCTTCCTAATATCGGAAGGAAGAGCATTCCAGACGGCTGCAGAAGCGCATCTCAAAGCGCGCGATGCGGCATAGTGTAGCCCTGGCATCAGACCTCTCCACGTGAGGGTTTTCTCCCGAGACAGCCGAAGGTCCACATCAGAGTGGGGATGATTGGCAAAGTATTATGTATACAAGCTACAAATTGTATGAGTACGTGGGGTGAGCCCGGAACGGGGCCACCCCCGGGGAGCCACTCGGGTATTGTGTAATGCAGTCGGGGGTCAGCGTGGGTACAAGCAGTGGATGTGAGGAAAGGAACCAGGACCCGGTCGCCTAATAACAGTTTTTAAAAAAACGGCGCCATCGATTCCAGGGAGCGGAGAAGCCCTGAAATTAAAAGTGTCGGGTATCTTCAAATATGGGCATAAACCTTGACCAAGTACTGATTGACAAACAGGTGAGGTCTACCGATAGCAGGGATACTGCTATTTTTACGGTATTGGGTCCTCTAATTCAGATATAAATTGTGGGGCAGTGTAGGGGATAGAGTGAATAGAGGCCCCGGGCTTGATTGCTTCCAAACCCGCAAAGCGATGATACCGGTGAGTCTGTCTCGCTTGTCCCACTCCGCCTTTTCTGTGAGAACAGATGGTGGCGGCTGAGACAGAAAAAGAGTTGAGTCTTGAGAGCCAACGCATGAACATAGCCCCCAAGAGATGGTTTGAGCAAAGCCCAAGTGTGCCGCTCCGACTCGCACGAGAGATCGACTCGTAGCGGAGAACAGCGGGGATTCTGGCACAGCGATAAGATTTGTACAGGTGTAGAGA